CATTATCTAAATGAGAGAGCGAGCAAAACCATTCCTCTTAATTTTCATCAACCTTCATTTCCCAATTAATAACGAGGATAATTCTTCAAATTCCAATTCAGCATGTTGATAAAGTTTTATTGCAATCGCTCGTGCAATTTTATTATTTGCCATAAAAAATTAAAGAACTCATCTGAACTTGCCATGACAAAAATGTTGGGCAAATGAAGAAATAAAAAACAAGATTTCATTTAAATATATTTTTTGAAAAAAATTACAATTTTAATCTTTCCAACACCACTTTCAATTAACAAAAGGTACATTTAATTACATTACCTTTTTCCAATTCATTATAACATCGGGAATTATTTCCTGTTCATTAATTAATTTTCGTAATAAAAAAATTGTGTCAAAACGACTTCCATTGTGTGCAATCCAAATACTATTTCTTTGTTCAATTATAAAACTAATTAAGTCTGAAATAATATTATCTCCATTATTATCAAAAACATACTGTCTATATCCGCAACGCATTTGAACAATTTGCTTTTTTAATAAATGGATCCGCAAATTTTTCAGCATTCTCATCTTTCTTTTCACATCCTTCAAATTCCTGTTTTTCACAATATTGACAAACTTTTTGAACCACAGCATAGAAGGGGATCATTTCATCATTTTCATCAGTTTTTGTTTTGAAGTAAAAAAAAAAAATGCCGGAAATGTCGCTGTATTATTACTTTCCCTAAGTGGTTTCATGAAACACTTATAATCTTTTCATATGTTTTACACTTAACGCAAATGATTTCTCGCAACTGTGATAATAAAATTTACGCCTATTCTTTAAAGAAGGATCGTAATTTCATTTCTTTCATTTGCAATTTTTCTCCCTTTAGCTTCAGGCAACTTTGCTTTGAAGATATCACCCTTTTTTATTGAAATAAGTCTGAATTTTTTTTCCACTCAATAGAGAAATATACCATTCAATAATTGTTTTTGCAACACCGCCTTTATTAATAACTGAAATAATGTCATAATTCATACTATTATTTCCATTATCAAAATGCATGAAAATTGATTTTAAGTGATCGTATGATCAGTATGACTTGCCATTGTAAAAATCAAAGGATATATCACAATCATCATCCTTTTTATAGTACATAGAAAATATGATTCATCATTATATTATCAAAAAAGGCCCCTTCATTTCAATGCATTCCGCTTTTAAAACTTTATAAAGTTTTCACCCCATCGTTTTTGTTCTTTTGTATCATTATCTAAATGAGAGCGAGCAAAACCATTCCTCTTAATTTTCATCAACCTTCATAAATTCCCAATTTAAAACGAGGATAATTCTTCAAATTCCAATTCAGCATGTTGATAAAGTTTTATTGCAATCGCTCGTGCATTTTTTATTTGCCATAAAAAATATAAAGAACTCATCTGAACTTGCCATGACAAAAATGTTGGGCAAATGAAGAAATAAAAAACAAGATTTCATTTATTATTTTTTTGAAAAAATTACAATTTTAATCTTTCCAACACCACTTTCAATTAACAAAAGGTACATTTAATTACATTACCTTTTTCCAATTCATTAAACATCGGGAATTATTTCCTGTTCATTAATTAATTTTCGTAATAAAAAATTGTGTCAAAACGACTTCCATTGTGTGCAATCCAAATACTATTTCTTTGTTCAATTATAAAACTAATTAAGTCTGAAATAATATTATCTCCATTATTATCAAAACATACTGTCTATATCCGCAAACGCAATTTGAACAATTTGCTTTTTTAATAAATGGATCCGCAAATTTTTCAGCATTCTCATCTTTCTTTTCACATCCTTCAAATTCCTGTTTTTCACAATATTGACAAACTTTTTGAACCACAGCATAGAAGGGGATCATTTCATCATTTTCATCAGTTTTTGTTTTGAAGTAAAAAAAAAAAATGCCGGAAATGTCGCTGTATTATTACTTTCCCTAAGTGGTTTCATGAAACACTTATAATCTTTTTCATATGTTTTACACTTAACGCAAAATGATTTCTCGCAACTGTGATAATAAAATTTACGCCTATTCTTTAAAGAAGGATCGTAATTTCATTTCTTTCATTTGCAATTTTTCTCCCTTTAGCTTCAGGCAACTTTGCTTTGAAGATATCACCCTTTTTTATTGAAATAAGTCTGAATTTTTTTCCACTCAATAGAGAAATATACCATTCAATAATTGTTTTTGCAACACCGCCTTTATTAATAACTGAAATAATGTCATAATTCATACTATTATTTCCATTATCAAAATGCATGAAAATTGATTTTAAGTGATCGTAATGATCAGTATGACTTGCCATTGTAAAAAATCAAAGGATATATCACAATCATCATCCTTTTTATAAGTACATAGAAAATAATGATTCATCATTAATATTATCAAAAAAGGCCCCTTCATTTCAATGCATTCCGCTTTTAAAACTTTATAAAGTTTTTCACCCCATCGTTTTTGTTCTTTTGTATCATTATCTAAATGAGAGAGCGAGCAAAACCATTCCTCTTAATTTTCATCAACCTTCATAAATTCCCAATTAATAAACGAGGATAATTCTTCAAATTCCAATTCAGCATGTTGATAAAGTTTTATTGCAATCGCTCGTGCAATTTTATTATTTGCCATAAAAAATATAAAGAACTCATCTGAACTTGCCATGACAAAAAATGTTGGGCAAATGAAGAAATAAAAAACAAGATTTCATTTAAATATATTTTTTGAAAAAAATTACAATTTTAATCTTTCCAACACCACTTTCAATTAACAAAAGGTACATTTAATTACATTACCTTTTTCCAATTCATTATAACATCGGGAATTATTTCCTGTTCATTAATTAATTTTCGTAATAAAAAAATTGTGTCAAAACGACTTCCATTGTGTGCAATCCAAATACTATTTCTTTGTTCAATTATAAAACTAATTAAGTCTGAAATAATATTATCTCCATTATTATCAAAAACATACTGTCTATATCCGCAAACGCAATTTGAACAATTTGCTTTTTTAATAAATGGATCCGCAAATTTTTCAGCATTCTCATCTTTCTTTTCACATCCTTCAAATTCCTGTTTTTCACAATATTGACAAACTTTTTGAACCACAGCATAGAAGGGGATCATTTCATCATTTTCATCAGTTTTTGTTTCAAAGTAAAAAAAAAATAATGCCGGAAATGTCGCTGTATTATTACTTTCCCTAAGTGGTTTCATGAAACACTTATAATCTTTTTCATATGTTTTACACTTAACGCAAAATGATTTCTCGCAACTGTGATAATAAAATTTACGCCTATTCTTTAAAGAAGGATCGTAATTTCATTTCTTTCATTTGCAATTTTTCTCCCTTTAGCTTCAGGCAACTTTGCTTTGAAGATATCACCCTTTTTTATTGAAATAAGTCTGAATTTTTTTCCACTCAATAGAGAAATATACCATTCAATAATTGTTTTTGCAACACCGCCTTTATTAATAATTGAAATAATGTCATAATTCATACTATTATTTCCATTATCAAAATGCATGAAAATTGATTTTAAGTGATCGTAATGATCAGTATGACTTGCCATTGTAAAAAATCAAAGGATATATCACAATCATCATCCTTTTTATAAGTACATAGAAATAATGATTCATTAATATTATCAAAAAAAGGCCCCTTCATTTCAATGCATTCCGCTTTTAAAACTTTATAAAGTTTTTCACCCCATCGTTTTTGTTCTTTTGTATCATTATCTAAATGAGAGAGCGAGCAAAACCATTCCTCTTAATTTTCATCAACCTTCATAAATTCCCAATTAATAAACGAGGATAATTCTTCAAATTCCAATTCAGCATGTTGATAAAGTTTTATTGCAATCGCTCGTGCAATTTTATTATTTGCCATAAAAAATATAAAGAACTCATCTGAACTTGCCATGACAAAAAATGTTGGGCAAATGAAGAAATAAAAAACAAGATTTCATTTAAATATATTTTTTGAAAAAAATTACAATTTTAATCTTTCCAACACCACTTTCAATTAACAAAAGGTACATTTAATTACATTACCTTTTTCCAATTCATTATAACATCGGGAATTATTTCCTGTTCATTAATTAATTTTCGTAATAAAAAAATTGTGTCAAAACGACTTCCATTGTGTGCAATCCAAATACTATTTCTTTGTTCAATTATAAAACTAATTAAGTCTGAAATAATATTATCTCCATTATTATCAAAAACATACTGTCTATATCCGCAAACGCAATTTGAACAATTTGCTTTTTTAATAAATGGATCCGCAAATTTTTCAGCATTCTCATCTTTCTTTTCACATCCTTCAAATTCCTGTTTTTCACAATATTGACAAACTTCTTGAACCACAGCATAGAAGGGGATCATTTCATCATTTTCATCAGTTTTTGTTTCGAAGTAAAAAAAAAATAATGCTGGAAATGTCGCTGTATTATTACTTTCCCTAAGTGGTTTCATGAAACACTTATGATCTTTTTCATATGTTTTACACTTAACGCAAAATGATTTCTCGCAACTGTGATAATAAAATTTACGCCTATTCTTTCGATTTAAAACAAAAAAAAAAGTCCTAATGACTATTATTCAACCATAGAATAATAACATCATTTGTTATGCGTAAAATGTTACCATTTTTATCAACCCTCGTGTCGAAAACAATCTGATTAAAATAGTTATCGGAGTACACAACAAGATCAACATTTTCCTGTTTTAGGTAATTCTCATAGACTACCCTGCGAGCAGAGCCTTATTTACCTACCTGGCATGGCGGGAGAGGTGGGGGTAGAGGTGAGAGGAGGAAAAATAAGGCTCTGCGGTATTCGTGTTTCGTTTCGTCCATGATCTTGGACGACATAAACCAGTTTAACCAGTATTACATGCGCGCGATTAACGTTTGATGGCTTACCGATGACAAATTGTGAGCCCACGAAATAGTTAAATATATACAAAATTCAACATGGCGGGAAACGCCAACGGTGCCAACGGAGATAGCTGCTTTAAAATGTGTTTATCAGCGGCTATCGAAGGCATATTTCCTGGGGAAAAAATGGACTTTTTGAGCAATGAACAAATTCAAGCCATTCAGTCCTTTTTTTTTGGCAACGATACTTTCGTATCATTGCCTACTGGCCATGGAAAATCCTTGATATTTCAGCTGGTTGTGCCGATTGCGAAGAAAATGTTTGAACTAGGGAAACATGATTATACAAACTGTCATCAATCTCGTCCAGTTCCCGCTCATCCTGTAGTCCTAGTAATCGCTCCATTAAATTCTTTGATCGCGGATCAAATCGAGTCATGCAAAAAAAAGCAGATGACGGCATGTAAACTCGATGATTTGCCACTGTCAGACGACAACTGTCTGTGCGGAGCCACAGCTGGTCCAGCTGGAGCGAAGTTTGTAGAATACGACTTCATTTTCACTAGTCCAGAGACCCTGGAGCAAAAGTTGAACGTTTTATCAAGAATTGAAAATCAGTTACTTGGTGTTGTTGTTGATGAGTCGCACTGTGTTATTAACTGGTAACCATTTTAATGATTAATATAATTATATATTACTTCAACTTGATTTTTTATACTGAGTATTGTATCTCATTAATTCTTCATGGTCAAATTGAAATTCAAACTCTATTTTGTATTTAAGGGGAACTGCTCCTAATGAAAAGTCGCCATTTCGGTCATCGTATTCGCGTGTGGGAAACCTAAGAGCTCTTGTTAATGTACCAATCCTTTGTCTAACAGCAACAGCATCCAGTACCACCAGAAAGAGTATTATCAAGTGCCTTAACATGACCAACACCAAGGTTATCCAACTTTCACCAGATAAAGAAAATATGAAATATATTGTCAACAAAGCCCATGGTGAGGAAATTGAGGAAACATTATCAACAGGTTGATAGCAGATTTACAACAATGTCTTGGTAATATGAAAAAAACTGTTATATTTTGTTGTTCAATAAAAGAATGTGGAGAAATTTACGAGGTATTCTTAAGCAACATGTCCCATGAACAACAAATGCATTTTGCTATGTATCATGCAAAAACTCCCCAACGCATCAAGGATTTAGTTTTGACAGACTTTCTTGAACCCAGTGGCACAATACGTTTGGTGATAGCTACAAGTGCATTAGGGATGGGGGTAAACATTCCAAATATTAGGAGAATTGTTAATTATGGTATTCCAAAAGACATGGAGTCATATGTACAAGGTGTTGGACGAGGAGGAAGAGATGGTAAAGATGTAATTGCAATAATGTACTACAAACCTTATCATCTTTGTCATGTTGACAAAGTTATGAGGTCATTTGTGAAAAATCAATTAGAATGTAGGAGAAGTTGCATTTTGGATTTCTTTAGTGAGAACAATAAAAATAAAACATCTGCTCATTCACATAAATGCTGTGACATTTGCACCAGATCATGCAACTGCGGTTCATGCCCCATAGAAGTTTTCAAATCCAAGTTATCTGCAAACTGCAAAAAGAAATCTCATGGTTTAACACGTCAGGTGACACCAGAAGAAAAAGATACATTTGTAGAAGTTCTACATGATTTGAATGTAGAAAATAAAAAATGTGGCTCTATTCTTGGCTCTAGTGTATTGGGTAACAAAATTGATGATACTGTAATTGAAGATATTGGTGAGGATTTAAAACATGTGTTCACCACAGACTATATTATGGACAATTTTCCAGTTTTTAATGAACAATTAGCTATCCAGATTTTAAGTGTCATACAAGACATATTTATGGATATTAATGAGGTCGACCTTGTTTATCTCGAACCTACAGAGCCAGATATTGATTTTTATTTTAATGTTCCTGTTCAGTCTTCTGACAGTGATGAATCTGAATGATTACAGTATATATATGTTTCAAATAAATTGTCATTCACTTTATATAATAAATTTTCGTTCACTTCTTGTAGTTGTACATTTTGTAAATATGACGATTTTGTTGATGCCAACATTTCTTATACTTTTTTATCCACTCATGTAATGCTTTAACAGGCAGATTTTTTAAAAGTTCTTTCTTAAGTTGTGGAAAAGCACGATATTGTCTGCCAGGAGTAAACTTGAACACCTTGAAAATAGATATGTTAAATATAAGAATTAATCTTATAAAATATATCAGCTGTATGTTCATTCTAAATTTCTATGAGTTGTAATGTTGCCGAAAGTGAGGTTCAGGGTCACACTGGAAGCTATTGCAGATTGTCAAAAAGAAGTTACATTTTTTAACTTTTTAGTTTTATTTTAATGCTTAACATTCTACCTTACATTTGCTTTGCTGTTGATCTGCTGAAGAATTGTCTCAAAGTCTTTCATTGATTTTCTGTTGCAGTGATGCCCTGATTTTTCTTTTGCCTCAAGTTCAGCTTTGGATGCATTAATCATTTTCTCTACAGCTGCTGTAACTTTTGTTGCCTTTACTACACTATCATCATTTATGTTTGGGAATCCTAAGGCCCTTATTTCTTCTTTGGCAATTTTATTCAGTTGCTCAACTCTAAGATCTCTTGAAATTCTTTTACCAGGTCCAGTCTTGATACCAGCAAATCTGTTCCAAGTCAGTCGATGTGCCTCACGAGGTGTTAAAAGTCCATTGACGGATGCAATAAGCCTCAGACCCGCAAGTGCATATTTAAAACAACCAGTCAGTCTAAAAATGTATGTAAGAAACTTCCACACTCTCAGAAGTCGTTCACCATCCCCTTCTTGTACTGAATCTTCTGCATCTCTAATCAAAAGGCCAAGGGTGATGTTAAGACAGCCATAATTGTAAATATGATCATCTTCATCTTTTGGTGGACCTTCTTGTTTACTTTCTTTCTGGCTGGTTGATAAATCCTCATGTATTAGATGGTGTTTCATCTTCTCATGGTTAATTCTGCATTTGGTGTACTTAAACACTCTGGGACATTCTTCAAACCGACATGGAAATGATGCTGGTGGGGAAGTGCTTGCTTCACCAATGTCTGATACACTGTCAGCCACATAACGATCAAATAGTTGGGCAGCCTGGCCAAGCAACCATTTTCTCTTGTCTTCTGTACTACTTGTGTTACATAGTCCACTTGGAAAGCAATTCTTTGTTGGTCTGCTTGTTGTTGTTTCCATTCCAAAGTGATCCATGGCAGCCGACACCAAAAACGCATCAGTTTGAATGGAAAAAACTCTTTGATCTGGTTGTAGCTGTCAGATTCTACATCTTTTAGAGCATTTGAGTTACCAACAATAATGGCATTTGAAGTATATGTACCCCAGTCTGCTACAGAATTCTCTTTACGTAGAATCTTCATAGCAGCCTATATTGGTATTTAGTAATAAATGTTTGTGTTACAAATATCACGCTACAATATACCGATACAGACTATCAGGGATGATCTTAAATGAAGTATCGTAGTTTAATTGGTAGTAAACTGAATATTCCTAAGCTTGTCGATTTCGTATTTACATACTTGTTGATTTCAAAGTCGGTTACTCTGTTGTTTCACAAAACATTGCATTGACAGTTTGTTTTCTTAATAATCTGATCGATTAGCATTATAGCCAAATGCGACGTGAAAGACGAACCTTATATGCTGTTCTTATGGCATGCCAATCTTCGTTCTTCGGCCACATTGCATCGAGACGCTCTGTTGTCGTTTGGCTGTCAGCCCTTGATTTTTGGACGTTTCGAGCTCGCTCCTCTGTCAGCTGATCACCGCCAAAAAACATTGCCTCTGTTGGAATTTCCTGAGGACCATTACCTTGGCTAACTTCGTGAAAGGGAACATATTTATCTTGGATTACTTCGAGAATGTCAACCATGTCTTCGTTTTTGCTCTCATTCTTTGGAATGACACCAAGGGGTATCTATAGTTATAGTGAAAACTTTTTTGTATGAAATTTTACTGCTAGCTGGGTTATCACTAGGCCTAATATCAGATAGGATTAGTGCAATGATGGAGTTAAGAGCCTATATAAGCAGTTGAAAATGCTGGTGTTGAACCAGTGTTGAACAAATATTAACTTTTTTTTAAGGGGCTCAGATGGGGCTTATAAGCGCTAAAGCTAGATTGCAGAATGGACAAAATATTACTTTTTCAGTGTAATCAGTATTGTTGTACACAATTAAAATAGATATTGGTATATATCAAATCGATGTATTTCTGCAATATCGCACCAACTCTGCTTAAGCTCCTTCTGGTTCCTATATTTAAGACAGCTACAGTACTACAAGTAAATATAATTGGCATAACTATAGTAGTATAATTTATGGTGTAAACATGAAAAAAATAACTCGATTTATTTTACCACCTCATTAACTGGTGTCGCCATGATTTCACTGTACTGATGAGGAATGTGCTTGATGATAGCACTGCGCAAGAAGGAAAATTGACTAAGATACTTGACAATGACTCTTGACCACAGTACAGTATAATCTTGCTTCAATTTCTTGATATCACTGTCAGATGGTATGAATGATGACAAAGGAGTATCAGCTAATGTGACTTCATATTCATTTGATAGCATCTTCCCAGAAACCTGATCTTTAAAGGCAACCAAGTTAAACCAGTGAAATGACTTGTTTTTATTAGCTTGGGACATATGTCGAACCTTGACTTCCAAATCCACGTTGTCTCCAACAATCTGATATGTGATAGGCGATATTGGTTGGCGATGATCATATTGCTTGACTACATCAAGTAAATCTCTATCATCAGAACATCCCAGCTGCACCAATTTACTGAAAACATTTAAAATGACTTTTTTCTGCACTCCTTGTTTTATTAAACTATCACATATGTTCTTCATAATTGTCATAGAATCTTGGAAAGAAAAGTACAGCCCACTCATCTCAATTGTCTGGAACTCATCATTGTTGAACGTATTACCCTGGCTGTTTTTCTGTGCATAACTCATGTAATTCTTCATGTCACTAACAGTTGGAGCATGGGGAAGGTAATTACATGAAATAAGTTCATTTTTGATCATAACTAAGCATGTCTCGTCTTGCTTTGCATCTTCACATGTCACCTTCCATTCTTGAACTTGTTGTTCACAAAATTCACCAAGCTGAGTGGCTTTCTTTCTAAGTGTGATTGGTGCAACGGTCAATCCATGTTGGTACAGTGTGTCTAAACCCTAAGGTACAAATAAAAAGTTTAACTGGTATGTACATAAGAAAGTTATAAATATGTATCCCTATAATATATATATTACAGACAGCAACCTACCATGGTTCCACACCCAGAGTGCCTGAGAATAAAGCAGAGTCTGTATGCCATTGCAGACATTTCAGGACATCGGCTGCGAAGAATAATGGCAGCAACAGTTGACGTCACAATCTCTTGTTTCAGGGAATTGTTTTTACTTGCTCGTTTTGATGTACACAGGGTTTCAAAGGTGCTGGTTGTTAGTGGTGCTTTTGTTTTCAGTTCAGCACTTAATTTTTGCATGTTAAAATCTAATGGTGAGGCTCTGAGTATGCTATGACTGTTCACTTTAGAAATGCTTTGACATTCATTGTCCATTCTATCTACAACCAACTTTTGTAGATGAACTCCCAGCTCTGGATGTTCCAGGATCTGCTTTAAAGCGCTCTTATGGGAACCAACAGAAAATGCCTTTATGATGTCTGCCATGTCATTTTGTACTGTTTTTGTTTGACTTCCAGATGGATAATGTAAGGTTACCTAATAACAAAACACGGTTAATAGTATAATGATTTTGTTATTGCACTATATACTTGATGGCTAAACGCTCTAGTATGACAGCACTATAATATTAATTGTACAATACACACCTCAACAGATAATTTGTTCTGACTTGGGCATTGCGATGTCAACGTGTGACTCTGAACAAAATCGGTTTGTGGTTTGTTTTCTTTTTCGTTAACAACGCTCCAGTCCAAAACAGCGACATCGATATTTCCGTTTTTGTTGGCGAGAAGGACTTTTTTTAGCGACCCTTTTAAAGTATGATTTACTTGATGCCTTACTTGAGTCTTGCCCTTCGTTGCAATTTTTAACGTCGTCTAGGACTATCGCGCATTGAAATCTTCTTCGAAACTCTTGCAAATCCAGGCGCAAAACTTTCGATTTCATATGCAAAGAATCGATTCGCCGATAGCAAGACTTGCACACCCTTGTGGAACATATATTCAGATCTATTCGAGAGGTTTTAGTAAGTTCTTCTAATTTCTCCAAAAGACCTTCGTAAGTACACAAATTAAAAGTACTCTTCGCGCCAATTAAACAAACACTACAGCAGAGACAAAAGGAATCTTTTTCCTCTAGTTTTTGCCTTCCTTGCTTCGTAGGAGTATTAGGAGAACCAGGTACTGGTCTCTGGCGCAAAGGAACTCTCTTTGGAGTGCTAGGGAGCGATATACTTCTTTTCATTTCGGCTTCGCTGGTACAACAGAAAGAATGTCGGCATATTGAATAATAAAAAAATTACGCAGGAATATTTAATTAAATCAGTGGCTGCGTAATGGTTACTAAGCAACAGACTGAGCATGCTCAATGGAAACGAAACACGAATACCGCAGAGACTTATTTTTCCTCCTCTCTCTTCTCGTCTCGCAACACCTCTCCCGGCACCTCTCCCGCCATGTCCACTACTAACAACAAGGTAGAAGGCAGGTAGGTAGGTAAATAAGGCTCTGCTTGCAGGGTACTCATAGACTGACTCATAATTTGATCCTGAAACTTTCCCAACGGGAAGGTTAATTTTTTTCGTAAATTTCATAAATATTTTCTTCCGTAAAAACATTAATCAATTTATTATCCCTTCTAAGTAATTCAAACTTTTTTGGGTTTCTCAAATGTAAAAGAGCAGTTAGTAACGCCACTCCAAAACAACATCCTGAAATTTTGAAATCAACACAATTAATTTGATATGCACCATGCGTGTACATTCTACCATTTTTTTTTGAAAATCGAACACGTACACCACCTGAATCGTCTTTCCCCTTACCCAGAAACGTGTAAGTTTTTGATCTCTATTATTTTTAGTTTTTTTCGTTTAGCTTTTACATGTTCCGGTGAAAATATCGAAATCAAAAACCGATGTTGTCCACCCTTCTGCAACTGCATTATCTCCACTTTGCATCATATTTGAAAACGTATCCAAGAAAAATTGCGACGACAATTCACTCAATTTCACAACAGGTGTTGAAAACGGGTATGAAGGCGCATTTAAAAAAACAAAACGCGCATGGTCATTATCACTTAAGCTGTTTAAACGTGCGACACTCAAAAGCGCTTCAAAAAGTTCTTTTAAACTATCAATAAAATCAAAGATACTCATGTCTTGAATTCTGGGTACATTAACTACGTACGTTAACCTTTTACTTTTAAGTTTTTCATATTTTTTTCTTTTTTCATGAATTTGCTCCAATGAAAATGACATATTATCATTTGCTTGTAAAATTTCACGATGTTCAGTTAAAGCACTTACTAATCTTCTCACATCATCTTCAGATAAATCATTCATCATTTTTCATCAATTATACGGAAGAAACAAAACAGCAGCAATTCGGTAAATTCTTTTTTTCTTTTTCTTTTTCTTGAGTGTTTCTGTCCTCTTCAGTCACTCCATCAGGAATATCTAAATATCATTTTTTAATAAATTTAGGTAGTTTTTATAAATTTAGTTAATTCTATATTTTTTTATTATCCATTTTTATGCATGTACCTATTTCAGATCAACCACTACACAATTGCATTTAAATGTCAATAAAGGATCTTTTGCCTTAAAACACACACTTCCCATATCTCGTTAACATGGATATTGTCCCTACAATTGAAGTTTACTTTATACAAGGCGATAAGTATACAACGTTCTATGTCTACGAAGCTGTTCTTTATGAGAACATTGTGTTTGAAAATAATGTGTATGAGAAAGATATTAAGGCTAAAAAGAGGAAACACAAACAGTCACTCCACCTATACAATCCCACTCCACATTTCTCACGGAAAGTGCAAAAAAATGATATTCAAAAGCTTGCCAATGCTTTGATTGAAACAGATGAGAATAGTTATTTGGGCAACTTGCTAAAGTCAAGTGACTGTCAGCCATGTCCTTTTGACACAATGCACCTAGATATGCAATCAAAGAAGCGATACTCTGAATCAATGCACCTCAATATAAATAACTATAGTGTCCGTGATAAAATACTTGAGAGATTACCTTCCACTACAGCTGAAGAATTAGTAACTAATTGTGATGCTATTAATAGTTTAATTGCCTTAGTCAAAATTACACATGCACAAGTTCTTCAAATTGAGCAGAACACTAGGCAGCAGTCCTCAAGTGATGTTTGGTTTGATAAACGACAAAAAAGGCTTACATCTTCAAATTTTGGAGCAATAGTAAAGCGCAGAAAGCAAAGGTTCCCCAAATCACTGTTGGCGAATATTCGCGAGTCAAAGCAGACCACTTGTCCTAAACCTTGCCAGTGGGGAAAAGATAAAGCAATTGAAGAGTACTATAAATTTAAAAAAAAATGAAGGAAAAAATGTTGATGTGTGTGCAAGTTGTGGGTTTGTTGTGAATTTGAAGTTTCCATTGTTACATGCTAACCCAGATTTTTTAGTGTTCGACAGCACAGAACCAACATCATTTGGTATTGGAGAAGTCAAATGCCCATTCTCAAAAAAGAACGTAAGCATTGATGATGCTTGCAATGACAAAAACTTCTTTTTGGAAAAATTGAACGGAAAAGTCAAATTAAAAAAAACAACAATTATTTCTATCAAATTCAAGGGTGCATGGCTACACTTAATGTTAGCTGGTGTGATTTTGTTGTGTTCACAAATGTAGACTTGCATATTGAGAGGATCTACTTTGAATCCTTTGTCTGCCATTAATTCATCACCGGGTTTAAGAAGCTTCAAAATACCACAGTCATGAGTAATTTTCTTATCACTAGTTCGGCCTGCATACAAGCTAAAGATGAAACTTGGGTATCCATTTGGTGATATCCCAATTAGGCCCTTTGCAGTGTTGTGGTTTTTGTAGCTTGAAAATGTAATGGACTGACTTCTGCATGATGATGGCATTTCAATGAAAATTTCAGTGCAGTCAATTATCACTCTAGTTTTAGGATATGTTAGTTTAAAACAGCCAGGCATGTTATCATCAACAAAATCCCGACTGGCCCAAATTGGTAAAGAACGAAGGCCTTGGTATAAGAATACAATCCATGTTTTAAATATTCTAGAAACTTGTGTTGTGGAAATATTAAAGCGATGTGCAATATCTTGTACAAGTAACCCCAAGCGCAATCTTATGAGTACAAGAAATAATTCTTGCTCTGGAGACATAGATCTTGGTTTGCCACATTTGTTTTGAGGTTCCGAGATTATAGGAGCTGTATTTGAACCATAGTATTGAAGGTGTTCACAGGCTGGGGAAAGGTAGTTATAAAAGCCTTGAAACAAGAGTAATTTGGAAAGCCAGTGTAAAATTTAAAATCACTGTCACTGTTAATAAATTTCTCCATCTGAAATACCCCACATTTTAATTTAGCAATATCTTCATTATATTTTGTGTTCAATGCCATGTTTTGTGCTTCTAGTGATAATATTTTATCCTTAAGTTCCTGCACTGTATTTTCAGAGTTGTCATCTTTACTTGTGCTATCATCAACAACAGAGCTTTCTTTACTTGTATTTTCCAAATATGTTTCTTCAGTAATTACTGGATTTTTAGCTGCCACTGTCCGAATAGTTGGGCTTTTCCTAGGTTTGGTTGTAGCAGTGGCAAAAATTGTTGGAACATTGTTGCTTTATGTTTTTGCACCGCCCACAAAATGTGCTGAGCATACTCTATGACTGGATCCAGGATCCCTTATACCTTTTCTTTTCAACAAACGAACCCACTTTTTCCTCAACTCTGGATTTTTTGGAATTTTATGAAATGACATCTCAGGATTTTTTCTACTATCACTTTCACACTGTGGTATACAGCAGTATCGTTTACACATTCTTTGACCAGTAATTTCATAAGTTTCACTATTATTCGTCTCATGCGAAGTGCTTGGTTCACTCTCCATATTAGATGGTTTAAAAATTTGTATGCTTATATTTATATATTTATTTAATTTCAAACTATAATCTATCTATGTTAATTGAATTTACCTAAAATATCCTATCTATTTAATTTTAAACTATCTTAAACCAATTTACCTAAAATATCCTATCTAAATATTTATTTACTATGTTATATTGTTAAAAAAATTAAATTCATTTATCTAAATGATATTCTATAACGAACGAGAAATTTATTAAATTACAGTGGAGGGTGTGAACCAATGCAGACTTCAACTAGAGGACAAACAACAGCAGTAAACTAAGAAAAACACTTTCAAATTTATATATTGTTGCTACGGCTTGTGTTGCTTAATTAAATACGGGTATTTTCGTGCCAAAACAAGCTAAAAACATTTCCGAGGGCCAAGGGCAGCTTAGTGGCAAATTCGAACAAAATCTTGGCAACATATGCCAATTTCTGGAAGCTTAAAACGATATTTGCACAAGAATAAAAGTAAAATACTGCTGAGATCCAAAAAGAAACACAATCAGTTACGCTTATTTTGTAAAAATAATCAGCCAATCGCAAGTTGAAAAGGGAACTCACCTGTTTCAGTACACGATAGTCAACTTTTCACAAGCAAATTTGAGCGATTGTCCACAACTTGGTACCCTGGTACCCAGAGGTTTTTTAAAAATCACGTGAAAAAATACGCAAAGGGGGGAAAGGCGGAAAAAATGGGAAAGGCGGAAAGGCGGAAAAAACCTCTGGCGACATTGACAATTAATTCTGGAAACATTCTGGAAATAACTTTCAGTTATGGAAGCTCGTTGGTGATTGGCTAATGTCACAGTCAAAAATTTATATGCCTATTTGATACAATTTCGCATGCATCTTCTATAAATTCCTTCTATATTAATGATCGCATTTCGTGAATATGCATAGTGAACAATATGTTAATACACGCAAAATATGTCGGTAAGTGAGGAGGCTTTTAATATTGCGATCGGTGGAGCGTTAAAAGATACATTTCCGGAGATTTCTAGTCTTACGGAACACCAGTATAAGGCCTTATTAAACTATATGAATCGCCGTGATGTGTTTTGTGTCCTGCCGACTGGATACAGAAAGAGTTTAATCTTCCAAATGGCACCTATTGTGGCAAAGAAATTGGGGACTGCATACAATTTTCCTGTGAATCCTATACTGCTGATCCTTTGTCCATTAAATTCTTTGATTGATTCTCACGTTCGTGAACTAAAAAAGCATGGATTACGTGCCACTTCGCTGTCAGATGAACACGACGAGCAAGAAATATTAAATGGTAAATTTACGTTTGTATTTTGTAACCCTGAATCAATCATCCGAAGCGAGAAATGGAGAGCAATGCTAACATCAGACATTTATCAAACCAATTTGCTGGGTTTTGTTACAGACGAGGCCCATGTTGTCCCTAAATGGTGAGTCGAATCTATTTTCATACAAAAATATTATATTTAATACTGTTGCCATGTTGTCATGCAGTATATTCCCGAGTTGGTCAGAGGTATTTGGTGGGGAGGGGGGGAAATGTATATCTCAGAAGTTTAATATGAAACTGTTTTTCATAACTGTGAGGGTGGTTCTAAATTAGCCCTCAAACTTTAATGCAGATACATCAAAATTACACCGAAACACTTACACCTGGGTACTAATTTTTAGATAATTTCCCTTACTTTGAACTGACAGGTAAATTAATAACCATTGATCATTTCTCGATATACAGTATAAGAAAAAGAGTGTTAAACTCATTGTAGCCTTACATGTTCATTTTACTTTTTCTTCCTTATTACTTATAGGGGAATTGGTAAAGGTGAAAAGCAGCTTTTCGAGAATGCTTTTCCCGACTTGCTGAGCTCCGATCACTGGGTCCCCAAACAATGATTGCTCCAGTTCTGGCACTCACTGCTACAGCTACAAAAAAGATTCGACAAACAGTGGTTGAAACTTTGTCATTCAGACTAGGATACACTTTAATACAAGAAACACCTAACAGAGAAAATATATATTTGTCCAAGGCTACCATCAGCAAAAACTTCCAAGAGGCTTTCCAACCTCTGATTGACCAACTTAGGAAGGAGAAAGAAAACATGGACAAAACCATTGTGTACTGTAGGTCAATAAAGCATTGTGCATCTCTTTATGCATTGTTCAAATTCGAACTTGGTTCTGAATCATATCGTAATGGCATGGAACACACATCAAAGAATTGTTTGTTTGCAATGTTTCACCATTGCACAAGTGAAACAATAAAACAACATGTTTTGGATTCACTGTATTCACCATCAGGAATTTGTAGAGTAGTTTTTGCTACCAATGCATTGGGAATGGGTGTCAACTTTAAAGACATTCGTTTGATCATACATTTAGGGCCCCCCAGAGAGATTGATGACTACATTCAAGAAATTGGAAGGGCTGGCCGAGATGGATTACCTGCCAAAGCAGTGTTGTATCATAATGGTATCTTGCTCAAACGAGCAAGTGATAAAGTGCGAGAATACTGTTTTGATTGCTCAAGTGAGTGTTTGAGAAAAATCCTCTTAAGTGATTTTGATGCAAACCCATCCCAACCAAGCATCAAGCATTTGTGTTGCCAAACTTGTCATGAACATTGTCGTTGTGTTGGAACTAGCTGTGCTTTTGAAATAGTGAACAACAAAGTAGTTCACCCATGTCATGATACTGGTAGTTATGTGACTCTAAGGGAAAGAACTGTGTCGAAGAAAGATAAACAATTACTTTCAGAGATCCTTTTTGATTATCAATCCCAGCTTGTGGGCACATCTAACTATTATCTGAGTGCTCATTATTCCACTGGTTTTTCGGACAAATTGATTGAACTTGTTGTTCAGCAAGCAAAGTATATCTTCAGTGTTGATTATTTGATGTCAAATTTACCTGTATTCAGTCGTAAACATGCTGTACAAATACTCCAGATTTTCAATGAAGTCTTTGAGGACATTGGTGAGAGTGACATTGAAAACATTAAAAAAAATGAAGATGTTGACAGTGGATCAAATATACATTTGGAAAGTGAGTTTCCTTCATATTTCTTTTTTGAACAACATGAAGATTCTAGTTCTACAGATGATTGAAAATATAATGTACATTACAGTAGCAAAAAATTAAACAGAAGGCATTTTTCGCCTACTATTATTAGATTGGAAACATGGTTGCTTAAGTAGCACTAAGTTTCTTCTTATGTTCATTTATCCAGTCATTAAGGCTTTTAAAGTTTAATGAACTCAGTATGTTCCGATTAAACTTAGGGAACTTGTCATATTCCCTGCCTTCTCTGAAACAAAAAACTTTCCCTTTAGTGTGAAACTGATTAACAAGTTCTTTAAATTCCAACTCACGCTTCGCAACAACATGATGACCAGATGGTTGATGTCGTCCCATTTCATCATCTGCAAATTGAAGCATTTTTTCAATGAACATCAATGAATGACTTGCCCGCTTTGCTGTATCTTCATTAAGGTTAGGACCAAGGTTTCTTAACATCTCCTTCAAAACATGATTCAGATGTTCTAGTCTAAGATCAAGGGATATATTCTTCCCTTTCTTTCCAGACACATTGATTGTTCTGTTCCACATTAGGCGATGTGCTTCACTTGGGGAGCAGACTGCATATATGTGAGCCTGTAATTGCAAACCTGCAAAGGCATACTTAGTATGGTGGTATGTCTTAAACAACAATGTCATATACTTCCAACATCTGATAATGCGAGATCCATCTCCTTCTCTAACTGCATCATCAAAATTCTGTACAAACAAGCCCATACTAATTCGGACACATGCATAGTTGTAGACATAATCACACTTTTCAGTTCTCGTGTTCTTTTCTGTTGCTTGGCTAACAACAGGTGTTGGTTGTTCACTATGAAAATAACTATGAATCTTTTCTTCGTGATTTTCCATTGCCTTCTTGTAATGGTATTGTTTTTTGCACACTCTACAGTGGTAAATATCTTTGGTCTTGGGTTGATTTTCTTGTTGTACTGATTCTGCCAAGTGATGAAAGATCTCATTCTCTGTATTCATTACATACTCCGACACCATGCTTTTGACATGTCTATGAAACCATAACTTCTTTGACTCATTATTACCACTTAGAATATGTGGAGGAATAATGTCATCAATTGCCATATCCAGAGAGCTCATGCTAAAGTAGGTCATAGCACAAGCAGTTATAATTGCACTTGTTTCTAAGGTGATAAAGTTTTTGCACTGATTTAAATTATCAAGTACATTAGTTGTTCTTGCATTACTATTGTTGATCACATTCATATTGGAGCACATTGTAGCCACGTCAACAGATGAATTTCCTTTATATAGTATGTCGTACAGGAGCTATTAAAAATAAATAAAGATGTTGTTTTTTGATGTATGAGTTTTTGCTCATTTTTTTCTGATAACCCTTCCAGACAATAATAGGCAAGTGACTACCTGGTTACCATCATGGTGTTTTACTCATTGAGCTGAAATGTTTTTAGTTTAGTATGGAACTGAAAACTGACCTGATATACTATTCTAGAAGCATGCCAGTCTTCAACTTTAGGCATCAGACCTTCCAGTCGTTCAACATCATCGACTCCGTCACTTCAGGCCATTTGAGCATTACGACTTCGTTCTTCAGTGAGTTGATCTCCTCCAAAAAATAGTCGGTCTTGAATGGAGTTATTATGCAGATCATCATCACCAATGTTGTTTTTCGGCTGAACGGGAACATAACGTGATTGTATGTGCTCAAGAATTTCTATCATTTGATCAGTGGAATTTTCACTCTTGAACAACAAACCAAGAGGATTCTACATAACAATAATTAGTGCACATATGACATACTATTATGCAAAATAGTATGTACAATTGGGAAAACTGAACACATAATATGCCTTAATACAATATGCATAAAAAATGTTCACACCTTCAAATTAGCCATAACCTATTTTAATAATTTGCTTTAGCCTTATGCAACACAAATGATCCTCAATAAATAGTGCTGTCCAATTGCACAATAGTTTAAGGTTAATTTGAAAGAATGTACATTATGCACCCTTCTTATTTTTTACTTGACAAATGCCAGGATTTTTTTTACTTGACAAATGTCAGATGATTTTACTTGTCAATGGAGAAGCTATGGGGTTTAATGGGTTTATACACCCTGTAGCTAGGTTAATATAGAGATACAGTAAAATACTATACCTCTTCTGATTGTTTGTTCATCTGTTCAGAATACAAGTGGGGGATATGCTGAACCACAAATTTCTTGAACATTTTAAAGGCTGGAATCTTTTCAACAATTACTCTTTCACACAAAACAACAAACTCATCAAGGAGTTGGTTATTGTCTTCAGTCGATGGAAGAAAGTCTATATTACTGACATCCTTAATTGGTTTTCGAGGCTTGCTATTTGAAAGATGTGAACCATGTACACAATCTTTTACTGCATTTAGGTTAAACCAGTGAATACTCCTGTTTTGATATTGTGTTCCAATATACTTGACTTTCACAAATATTTCAACATTATCTCCAATTATTTGGTACAATGACTTAGGGGGAATATGATGTAGTATGTTGGCATTGGCCATACTCTTAGTAACATCAACACTCAGAAACAGCACATGACCTCAGACAACAATACAACACTGGGCATCGATCTTGCAACTCGCTTTCGTGGTTTTGGGCTGAAAAGGTTTGCAAGTCTACTGGGGACGTTTTCCTTAGTAACGAAGGCGTAGTTATACTGCAAATATCAACAGTTTCTTTATTAATTTCCTGCTGGAACTTCTTTAAAAGCATCTCTCTAAACTCTTGCTTTTTCCAAATGGCGTTTACAGCCGTTGAGTACTTCCCAACTGTCAAGTTCACAATCATTTGTTTTATTGCCAAATCATTAACTGCATGCACTTTTTTCGCCAAACTTCTGGGCCATTGTATCGAAACCTACAGGAAAAGTGTATCTTATTATTCTTATATGGGATGCAAATTCCAATTTACAGTAATAAACAAAATTATTGTTATTTTACCTCAACTTTAGTTTTAGGTTCATCTTGTCTAAATTGTAGCATACGCTTTTCAGGTGTGCTACTGAGCTGAATGTTTTCGTTAAAGTCCTTTAAAATGGATCTTTTTGCTGGTGATCCACAATGTGAAATTGTAGACAATTTACAGTTTTTTTCTTTTAATGGGGACGCCGTGCGTGATGTCTTTGTAGTTTTTGCCTGTCTTGGTGGTGACTCAACTATACATCTCTTCTCGTGAGTTTGGATGTTGTTGTTGGAACAAAGTGTCACGAAGTCCTCTAGCTCCTTTTTATACTTATCAAATTTTTCAACTTTTCTAAAACAGCCTTGGCAAATCATGGATGGCAAGTAACTTTCGTTAACAACATAACGTTGAAGCAATCTAGCAAGTCGGTTCTGCAAGTTATGTTTTGAAGCGAAAATGCTGTAATAGCCACGACCAGCAATTTTAAAGTTTATACCACATAATCTGCAAGTTTCCTTTATATTCTTGCTGGTCACATTGCACGGATATATCTTTTTAGGAGTATTATTTGCAGAATCCATGGATCATTTGACATTTGTCAAAGCAAAGGTATTTATTACTTTCAATACAAAAACAATGTAAAAACGCTATAAGTAAGGGCTGCATTGATTGGTTGATAATTTTAGTCTCACATTTTTCACATTCCAGAATGTTTCCAGAATTAATTGTCAATGTCGCCAGAGGTTTTTTCTGCCTTTCCGCCTTTCCCATTTTTTCCGCCTTTCCCCCCTTTGCGTATTTTTTCACGTGATTTTTAAAAAACCTCTGGGTACCAGGGTAACAACTTGGCATCTTCTCGACGGATTTTTATCGCCATTAACGCCCAGATCGTCATGAAATTTCGTGTGTTTTGTAGTGACGAACCTTCTTGCAATTTTCCAAAGAAAACAAACATCGATGGACACGAAATGATGTTAAAAATCCGCGGATTCTTCTCTTGCACGAAATTCACCGCACATACGGCAGCCATTTCGTTCAAAAGCAACTTTGCATACTCCTACCGCCATGCTTAGCGCGCCTAGTGCTAAAAGGGGAAAGGTCTATTCTTGTCCATGTAATTTCTTAAGAATTTCAGATGCTTGCGATGGTGTTGCAAAGGCAGAAATTTCTGTGCTTGAGATACCTCAGTTGGCTTCTGTGTGAAACATACTATTAACTCATCACTTTGACTGATCACCTTATTGTTTTGTTTGCTACTTAATGTCTGATGTAACGACAAACTTTCTTTTCTTGGTTTCAGTTGCAGTTGTTCTTGAATAATTTGCTGTTTCAACTTCAAAAACATTCCACAACTTTTTGTAACACACTTGAAATTTTCATTATCTTCATCACCCATGTAGTGAATCGGCAAACCGGAACAATCGTGCATTTTTTTATACAAGCATGAAATTTGGCACAGCTTCCTAGTTTTACGTGGTGAACATGATAAAAAAGAGACCCCAAACTCAAAATGCTTTTGAATGTTGTTTTTGACCAACACACTAGAACCCAGTCCTCCGAGAGCGTAATACGTTGTAAATGCTAAGGAAAACTATTGTTTGCACGTGAAAGTAGTAATTTGGTACAGTATGGGATGTTAGGAAAGGATCGTTAATGTGGTTGTTCCCATTTGGGGGCCTACAGTTATGTAAGACAACGTACAAGCGCATGCACATGCGTAGTTATGCGTATGTGCAATTGTACTTTAAAGTTTCTACACAACCTCATACTCATCCCAGATCCCTGAGGTGGGGCCAAGTATGACATAAATTTGTCTTATTCTCTGCGTATGTTTGTTATGCAAAAGCTATTACCGAGTATCGTCGGTAAAATTTGCCTATATACACATGCAGCAATGGGTATATGTTTCTAAATTTTAACTGTTACTGTATATTATAATAGTGACAATTCAAAGCTACTGTTAAATAGTTCTCATTTCTTCTTTCAAATATAAATATTATATTTTTCGGTATGTACGGTAGATGGGTAACAGTTAGCTATGTACATTGTCCATCACACTTGCAAAGTTCTGTGCGGGGTAGGTCAACACACTTGCAGCCACAA